ATATGTATAAACAAATAGTAAAATATTTCGCAGAAACACTGATTAAATATTCTTTTATGTTTCAGAGTGTTTCTAAATGTTTGGAGAGGTTTCTGGTCTCGCTGTATTTTTACACAACGCTGCGTTTCCTTCCTGACGTTCCTTCACGTGTTAGTGGTTCCCCCTAAGTACACATTAATGCATCAATAATTATATTGACAATATAATATATGTTATTATTTGTATAATGACTACCTTTGGTTCTGACTCAGACGCTACTTCCCCAGGACAATTTCTTACTTTTGCACATCTTTTCTCTTTTAATATACACGGGACACTTTAATAATGTACTTGTTTTAACATACTTTTATTTGTTTACTATATTTTAATGTAAATGTTCATATTTTCTATTTTTAAATGATGTCATACTATTGCACTGTGTTCTACTGTTACGCACCAAATCACCGAGCCAAAGTCCTTGTTTGTGTAATGCACTTAACGTACCTAACGTACTTAACGTACCTAATGTACTTAATGTACTTAACGTACCTAATGTACTTAACGCACCTAATATACTTAACGTACCTAATGTACTTAACGCACCTAATATACTTAACGTACCTAATATACTTAATGTACCTAACTTACTTAACGTTCTTAACGTACTTAACGCACTTATTGTACCTAATGTACTTAACGTTCTTAACATACTTAACGTTCTTAACGTACCTAATGTACTTAACGTACTTAACGTTCTTAACGTACCTAACGTTCTTAACGTACTTAACATTCTTAAAGTACCTAACGTTCTTAACATACTTAACGTACTTAACGTACCTAACGTTCTTAACATTCTTAACGTTCTTAACGTTATTAACGTACTTAACGTACCTAACGTACTTAACGTTCTTAACGTACTTAACGTACTTGGCAATAAACAGTTTCTGATTGTGATTAAATATATCTCCATGCTGATACTTTTATACATTACTGAATGCAGGATTTGTACATGCAACACTGTAGTACAACTACTTCAACTGAAGTACAATACTGCTGTTTTCTCTTTGTTACGGTATGTTCATGTGGATCGGGTCTTCAGGTCTACCTGGATCGGGTATCTCCTTTTACAAAAAAATTATTGTTCGTGTTCTTGCTCACACTGTAGTATATAAATCCTCTATGTCGCCCATCCTAAGTGTTCCCTCGGGTCTCCGTCCGACTTTAAGGCTCTCGGTGTTTCACGGTGCGTTTAGTTCTCCTACTGAAGGAGGCTCGATCCCTTTGCAGCCTCCTCGTAAATATCTGTCAGCTTCAAACCAGTTGGGAGTGAGCCGGTGTTACCGGGAAGAGAAGAGGCCGAGGTCTCACGGGACGGATTCCATGTTATTCTTCTGAAGAATCAAACATACACAGTTGCTAACAGAAGTGGAAGACGTGTTCAGGTCCCCGCCGGCGGCAGAACTCTGTGTGTTAAAGGGGGCGTTAGACCGCGGAGGTGATAAGAAAATAGATTTTCATACTTTACAAGAAACATCTCGTTTCTTCAATAACAGCAGATACGGCACAGAGTGCCTTCAATATAACGGTAGTTTTTAAATGGATTTATCCAAAGAATACAAAACTCCTCCCAGCCTGAGACAACGTTCAGCACCGGACAGCGCCCCCATGGAGCCACGATCAGTAACAACGTCATACAAACAAAATGAGACGAGAAGTGCATTTATGTTCTGGAGGAAATTAAATGAATACTATCCACAGTCAGGGATGAGTATCGTTATGATTTTATTAACACTAGTACTCTTATTGATCCTCTTATCGGTTATTTTTGATTAAAAAGAGAATTAATTAAGAAAAGAATCAACATTTGGTTATTATTCTTGTGTGTAAACACATTCTCATCTAAACAATGATCTCAGTGATTGTCTTTCATTGATGATCCTGTTCTTCTGATCAAACTCTGAACTACACTGCAGAACCAACAAAGTACCGAGAGCAGAACCGCATGGCTAGTCTTTACTCTTTTAGAACCGGTTGCTGTTTAGAACAAAGTTCTGGGGGGCGTCCCAATCCCCAGTGCAGCTAGAACGGTGTAATTAATGTCATTGACACATATGATGAGTTATACTTAACTAGAACCGGCGATGCACACAAACACTCATTGTGTCATGACTTGAAAGGAGCATGACGATGTCTGCAACTTGACAGATATCCTGGAGGAGAAAGAGGTACAGCTGTGTGTCGGGTACTCAGCAGCACCTGCATGAATAAATCAGACCGTCAGAGAGGGAAGGGAGCGGCTGAACACATTTAAAGGTAGCCGAGCCTTTAGACATTTCAACTCACAGTAAAGTGTTTGTTATTTGGAGACAAGGTGAAAGGTCGTTTAAACACAGTTCTAATGTAGAGACTAAATAAAAGAGAAGAACCAAACAAGGCCTGGAAACATTCAGTGAGTGAGACAGCTGTTGGTCTTTGTGATGTTGTAACTCCAGAGGTTTGTGACTGTGTGATGTCTCATGCTGGAGGTCCAGTATTACTGTTAGAAACCCCACGAAGGAACTCGTTTATTTTACCTCGGCGTCGGGACGCTTTGTTTGGTTTGACTCTGTGAAAACACATTCATGTAAAAAAGTCACAATAGTTTAAAGTTTTGCCAAAAAATGTGGACTTTTTCGTTTTTTTTTTCTTACCGTCCAACAGAACCTCATGCTCGTGTGGAAATACCAGCCCAGTATCACAGCAGGCTGCGACACACTAACTGCAATATATTGTGTTTCTGTACATGGACACAAATTGTCTGTTTTTTTTGTCAATGGAAAGTCGATCAGGATGCTTTTTTTGTGGTGGACACACAAATGAACTGCATCCACGAGACGTAGAATAACATATAGAAAAACAACCAATGGGAGTGGAGGTGGTCTGATAACAAACACAGGACCGTCTACCACGAGACCAGCGTGTTGTGGTTCTGTTGTTGTAATTATGTTGTTGTAGTTATGTTGTTGTGGTTTTATTGTAGTTCTGTTG